AGAAATACCGATAACCGTTAGAGCAAGAAACTTAGTAGTCTAATTCTGGTTTGAAGACCCCGATAAGGAAAACGTAGTGATCAACAAGCTCGGCTGCTTCTATGTCTTATTAAAAGACGAAATTGTGTCATAGAACCGATATTAGGCTGACAAGATAGACGTATTCTTCTGGAGTGGAGATCAGGTTTTTGGTAGTGGTTGAATGCTAAGAACTTAGGTTTGAGGTCTTCCAGTAGCGTGCTATTTCTAACTTTAGTTTAAATGTCTAAATTATACCTGAAATTGTAGACTGCCTCGTTGGCCGAGTGGTCGCAAGTGCTTTTGCCGGGTAAGGGGTCCCGAGTTCGATTCCCAGGTCAGGCAAATTATTATTGGGTTTTTTAAAAAAAATCTCAACAGTGGAGTCTAGAATTGTGTCAGGCATAGGGCAATAGGATCATCAGGGGATGACCCTTGTAATAGAGGTTACATGGGACTCATAACACAAACAGTGAAAAGTGGGTGTTACATTGTACGTGCCGTACCTCTGCCTACCCCTTCGGGGATAAAAGGCGTGATGTTATTATCTAAATTATACATAACCATATGGGGTGATGCTGCGTAATAGTTTAAAGTTAAACAATGTTTTGTTGGTAATTGGTATCTCGAAGATATCAACCAACCACCAACCTACCAACGCCGTAAGTATTTGTTTACCTACATATTAGTAGTTACTGTTATATTACACTGTTGTTTATCCACCTTGTAATGCCGTTACAATAATTGTAAAGGAAAAACTGACATTTTAATTGACCAAGTAACAAATACTCAGAACAATTACGAATACGAGTATTTCCTTTTTCCTTAAATATTTACTAATTGACAATTAAGCAGCGGTTTAAGATGTTTGTTTTAAATAACCGAAACGTTACCTCCTTTTTTTCGCCATAATCGGGTAACTCAAACTCAAACTCAAAAGCATTTTATTTCAATTAAACCATAATTTGGTACTTTTGAAACGTCAACAAATATGAAATAAATAATAGTCTGTCAGTCTGTCCGTCAGTGAAGCTAGACGCTCGTTCCAAAATGTCGATTCGAGTGGAGAAGAACGAGCAAGAAACTCCATTCGTTACTCTTTTAAAAAAAAAGTTAACTATTAACTGAGAGTGACGCTGGCTGAGTGGTCACTACTATTAAACATAAAGTCTAAGTCAGAGGTTTTATTCCAAAACTGTTAGGCTACGTCAGTACAGGCACACTTAGTGCCTATTTGTATATAGCGTAGCTAGCGAGTACGAGTACCTACAAACAACGATTTAAAATTCTCATTCAGTCGAGTTTCCCAATCTAGTACAGAATGCTAGGAACCCATGGCACTTGGCCAGCGTTTCCTATCGAAGTACCGTAAAATGCTGTAACATTGCCTTTATAGCTCAACATTGCCTAAATTCAAAAAAGTTAAATTATTGCCGCTGCGAAATGTTTTTTATTATCTCTAGTATTACTAAAAGCAAGTCGGCAATCTGTATGGAACGTTCGATCATACGTCACGACAAAATTTTAGTTAACAAACTTTCAGCGGCAGTTTCATTGTCAGTGCGGGTACTCGTTTTTACCGGCTCTCAGGAAAATTTCATTTTGTGAGTATTTATGCTTTATTTTCTAGCGTAATGTATTATATAGTAAAGAAAATATGCTCTTTTATATATTTTAACTGTTTTTTCTGTATTATATGTTATTTTAAATCGTTAAATCATGGTCGGCAAAGTTGTGTCAGATTTTCGCAACTTTTTAGTCAACATTATCTAGGGTTAGGGCTGCCACTTTTAATTTTTCAACAAACTCTTAATCGATTTAACTCGTCGAGTACCGTCATTATAGACACAATTATAGAACAATAGGTTGCGGTCACCGGTGACCGCTTGGTGTTTGACAGTTCAAGTACAAAAATTCGATTTTAAAAAAATATATTTGAATATTTAGAAAAATTGTTGCATTTCCTTTGGGGCAGCCCTACACCGAACTCACTTTTGTATGGGAGTTTTAGAGAAACCTGCACAACTTTGCCTAGCATTGTAAAAAAAAAATCTCGTGCTATTCAAGATTCAGTGAAGTCTGACGTGGAAAAGAACTTAATTGGCAATATGGGTGTCAGATCCGTTACCAAAATACCTATTCATTTAAAAAGATATTATGACAGGCAATGTTGTAGTTTTTACCTCAATTTTGCCTACGTTTTCAAAGCAAGTTTTTGGTGCTTTGTAAGTGTTTTTTTTACTAGTAGCAAATGTATTCCTAAAGCTTAAAGTCCAATTTTGGACAGTAATTGAAAAAACATACGACTTTCTTAACGATTAAAGATTTATCGAAGAAAAACGTCAAAATCCGTGCAAAGTTACAGCATTTTACGGTACAAATCTAAATAGCCATAACAAATTATTTTCAACTCTAAATCCTAAAGACTAGGGTGGATAATACCTTATAAGTAGTTGAAGGTCGAAGTAGACAGTCAGTGATGTAATATTGCTGTAGGAATTTGAGGTCTTTGAACCTTTATGAGGACGGCGTTTGTTTCCACTACGCGATTCGTAATGGACTTATGATGAATGATATTTTATTATTATTTTAGTTTTGTCTATTTGATTTTAATTCTTTTTGTCCGGTTTTACCGGACTTTACGTGCTTAAATTACTAATAAAAAGGATTGAATAAGATTTAGCACTCACAAATATACTGGCCAACAGCTATGGACCTAAAGAAAAAACGATGAAAACAGGTAGATGGCGTCTTTGACTGCTGAGATACTAAACTAACACAGAACATATAAATAAGATTTAACATATATTGAACAATTCTATCATACAATATCTAAAAACAAATCTATACAATATAATATTCAGTACTACCTATAAAGCATAATATCATTAATATCTGGCGAAACCGCGTTCACCTGCCACACTCGCAGGTACCTACATACCTTGTTCAACGAAATCAAACCGGTTTCAGTCGAAACGTTCCTAATGATGATGTTGAAACAGGAATGCGCACTGATTGAGACTAGCAACTATAGTTAGCTACACTTATAAGCCGGTTAGCCAGACAAGTTTTTGAGAAAAAGTTACAAAAACCCGTAAAAGAAACACGAAAAACATCTCGAAATTGAGATTCATATTTGGCGGAAATTACCTACAGCCTACAAATAATACTCATAACTTTGATTCTTCATAAACACAGGGGAAATACATGATATTAATGTTTTGCATAAATAAATCATTTAATAATGCATGCATGTGAGTGAGGCTAATGAGGTTATCTACCAGAGACCCGAATCTCAAATCCCCCTAGTAAGTAGGTATCCCATGGAGTCTGCCGGTAGCGAAGGTAACCTATTTGTAATTCCTCAAGTGTTCCGGGTGTCCATGGGCGACTACGATTGCTTAGCATTATGTTATCCGTCTGCTCGTTTACCGCCCTTCTATCTAGGTATACGGAGCCGCGAAAGACTTGACGGGTTGCCGGGGCTCCGACTCGAAGTCCAGGAGTAGGAACAGGGGTTTGGTTTTTAGTCAGTATAAGAGTCTGACATTTTAGTCAGTATAAGACTCTATCCCGTCTATCGCGGGCGTGAGAAGTCATTGGATGATTTTCCCCCAGCAAAAAAAAAACAAGCCGTCCTTGGTTATTAAAAATTTATATCTTTCTGGTCTCCACAGCTTAACCCTCAACACACAGTGCCCACCCTAGTGGACGATGGGTTCTCAATCTGGGAGTCGCGCGCCATCATCACATACTTGGTGAACAAATACGGCAAGGGCAGCAGCTTGTATCCTGAGGAACCCAAAGCCAGGGCCCTGGTAGACCAGCGCCTGTACTTCGACATCGGCACTCTGTATCAGAGATTTGCTGATTACTTTGTAAGTATAACTTGCTAACTTACTGAAGAATATTATGTTAAACTCATTTTATATACAGCATTCATCTCTTAATTGTCCTTAAGGTTGGAAAGATGACTATTAAGATAATAATCGTGGGTTAAATTTCCGGATCAAGTACCTAAATAAATTTTTATCGACACGCAATAAACTCGCCCACTGTAACATACAACTCAAAATAGAACTGGCAAAAATTGCGTGTTATTTTTATCTTGTGCATCCCTACTTCTACCAATTTCTTTGAGGAATAAATTAAATTATTTAGAATGTTTAAATCAAACTTATTTCAATAGGTCGAAAGGCATTAACTTCCAAAATATCACTAATTCAATCTACCCTACAGTACCCACAAGTGTTCGGTGGCGCCCCCGCTGACAAAGACAAGCTGGCCAAGATTGAAGACGCTCTGCAACTCCTGAACACATTCCTCGAAGGTCAGAAGTTCTGTGCTGGTCCCACCCTGACCCTCGCTGACCTCAGTCTCGTCGCCAGCGTGTCTAGCTTCGAAGCATCTGATGTGGACTTCAAGAAATACCCTAACATTAAGAGGTGAGGACTAACCCTACTTTAGACGTCGACGGACTTTAGGGGTTTGGAACATTTGTTAATAGCTTTTTCACATTTACAGATGGTATGAAACAGTGAAGAGCTCAGCGCCTGGTTATTTGGAGGCTAATGAGAAAGGCCTGGATGCCTTCAAGGGTCTCGTCAACAGCATGATGAAGAAGTAACTGGAGTTTACACGAGATGTGTACTCCATTCCTTTATGCAGATGACAATAATGGACGAAGGTGCAATAAGTGCTCAATTAAAAATTAAATTGGGCCTTTATTGGGCCTTCGTTCATCCAGAAAATAACACCAAATTACAAAATGTTTGCACTTTTCTTTGGCTTCTACTATCCATATCTTGCCATGGATTTGGAATGATTTCTTCCAATTTTTGGATAAATGAATGGAGCTCTCCTATTACTCTACACAGCACGAATGCTGTCACTTTCACAAAATGTTGTTTTTTCAAGTTACACCGTTTTACATTCTGATTTTATTTAAGTTTAGGTTATAAGGCACAAATAAAAGTTTAAAATATATTTTTAGTGTTTTATTTCGAGTACAATACAATAGTATTATAACGGTTTCAGTCGCTTTGTGTAAAATATTCGTAGGCGCTTAGAATTAAATGAATCAAAGCTGAAACTAAAGTTCCGTAAAGTTGGAAAAGAAACAAGCGATAACGTATTACAATTTATAAATAAATGCGAAGTTTTACTTATTACTATTGAGGAACTTACAACTCAGTTTTTGCTTTGAATGAAGCTAGCAGAGCTTTGAATTCATCAATACCGGCCTGGTTGGCCTTATCATATCCAGGTGCCGATGTCTTCACCAGTTCGAACCATCTGCAGAGAGAAAGTTAAAAAGTAAGATAAAAATCGTAAACGAACTTAGAATAGTAGGCAACTTTTTGTTGCCAGCACGATGATAGAGGAAGCTGTTAGTAAAGGTAAACTAAAGGTAGTTACAGTGGAAGATCATGCTTCTGCACAAAACGGGTCGACTTGTGCCCGAATACTGAAACGTTACTCAATTTTAAGTCGTGCTTAAATATCGTGCCATCTCTGTCATATCACAAAGAATTTGTAAAGACAGAACTATACTTAAGCACGACTTAAAATTGAGTAACGCTTCAGTATTCCGGCATTGGTCTACAATCGACGAGGAGAAAACTTAGTAGACGAGAGTCCCAATTCCCCTAAAAGGCTGCAACGCTCAATGCACTTGTAACTCCTGGGTCTGGTTTTGTTGGTGTCTATGGGCTCGAGCAATCTACTCGTTTGCCACCCTATCTCATAAAAAAGTACAGTTTCAAACTTACTTCTGAACATTAGGATATTTGTCCAAGCTGACGATGCCGGTAGCGTCAATCGTAGACACTGTGGCCACAAGACTGAGGTCAGCCAAGGTCAACTTATCCCCGGCAGCATATGTGTTGCCCTCTAAGAATGTGTTCAGGAACACTAGAGCTTCTTCCAATTTCTTCAGAAGAGCTTCATCAGCCTTCGCTCCACCGAAGATTTGTGGATACTGTTAAGATAAAGAGAATTTTAGATATAACTTAAGTATAGTGTATAGTTAGGTAAATATTTTCTGTCTATTTATGTAGATTTTTATGCATATAACAAAGCAAGAAGTTAATATTAGGAATCAAATCCTTTTTGCAATGTCAAAAAGTTACTTATTTTTACGATTATAACAGGTGTCTCTTACTTCATACAATGATCGAAAAACGCTAGAAGTGTCATAGGGATCAAAAGCCCAGTTAAGACATAAAGCAACAAGAGCTAGCCTGACAAGCATGTTGGGAGGTCTGGCTGTCAGACTTAGCACTCTAATAAAAAAAATAGATACTTACAAAATACCCTCCAAATCTTGGATACAATGTGCCCAAATCGAAGTCCAATCTCTGATCAACTACAGCCCTGGCCTGAGGATCACTTGGGTACAGGCTGTTGTTCTCGTCGCCATATTTGGAGACCAAGTATCTGCTGATGGCGCGAGACTCCCAAAGTGAGAAGTCACCGTCGACGAGGGTTGGCACTGTGTGTTGGGGGTTCAGCTGTAAGATAACATTGTTCCTCGTTAGTTAATGGTAGTATATATAATAAGTAAGACAACCTTGTATAGGTATGATTTTCTATTGGAAAGTTAGATAGCGGAGTCATTAACATCGACCTGTTTCGGCCGTCTCCGTCCACAATAGACAATGACAGAATGCTATTAGAGAAAGCGAGGGAGAGTTTGATCTTCAGACTTTGGATCCAATCACTGTCCAGCTACCTTGCGGATATTGTCACCCCATCTAGCTGGAGAGCGTCCTTCACAGCGTACTTAGAATAAGTAGGTAGGTACACATTATTATTCAAGTACAAATCCATACCTTCAAAAATTCTGGATTGAACTGTTCTCCCGCTCGCAAGTTGACGGGATTCAAATCCAGCTGGATGTTGAGGGCTGCCGCTACTAGCAGGACCAGACGGCATGGCGCGGACCCAGCGGTGTAGTATAGAGCTAAAGCCATTTTGTGTCTGTGGAGTAAAATAAATATCTCATTTATATACCAGATATCTAGGTACTAAAAGCTTGGAATTTACCTTTTGTTTAGGTAGGTAAAAGAACTATCTATCCTTTTCATAGTACCTAACTCATTAAACTGTCAAACACCAAGCGGTCACCGGGGACCGCAACCTATTGTTCTATAATTGTGTCTATAATGACGGTACTCGACGAGTTGAGGACCTTGGAGTTTTGTAGTGTACTTAGTCAAGTACCTAGGTATACACAAAATAAGTAGATATTTATTTTTAATTTAGGTATCTACTTAATGTATCAGAAATCTTACCATGACATTGAATTTAGTGAAGTTATCTTATCATCAACAGTAAGCATACCTATAGCAAATACCTAGGTACTACTAACCACCTACCCAGAGCTGATGTTTTGGTTTCAGACATTTTTATTTATTAATTCATTCATTAATTAACAAGTCCTAATTTTAACGTGGTCGGTAGGTAAATAAGTTCATTTAAAACTGTTATAGCACTATTACACTACGTAACTATAAGTACTTACTTACTAGCAAAGAAGAATATACTATACTAGGTACTCATTTTTAAAACTTACTACATGTATATAATGGTTTAATTATAGCTAATTAAATATTCAAGATACAATTATTTTATAGTTAAGTAGCTACTTAGTGGGCGTAGCTTTTAGAACACCTAGCTACGCAAGTAGTTACTGTTATTATGGCGCCAGACGCCGCGCCGGCTTACCGGCATTGAAACATTCATACATAAGTTTAAAGTTATAACAAAAACTAAACAAACAACTTGGCTGTAGGTCGTAACCGGTAGTTATTATAACTTATTAATTTATAAATATGTTTATCTCTTACCAGTCGTGCTCTCCGTGTTCAATGTAGATAATAACTGCGGCAGTCGATGACAATATACATACAGAAACCGGCCAGCCTTGACTCAATGCTATTAGCCTTGTTACACGACCAAATTCAAAAGCCACTCGATAACGTCAAACTGAGCGGGTACTAAGCACAATCTGACAGTCATTGTGTTTTTCCAATTTGGCCGCGTTTTTCACTTTATGCAATAAAGTACATTTTGAAGCAATTTTTGAATACCACGTAAGTATTGTTGAATACGTAATCTAAGATTTTGTTAGATAATAATAATACCTGCGGCCACGCTATGATGCTAGGCGTGAGAGCCCAATTATCCGGGTGATGAAATTCAGTCGATATGACGGATAAATAGTTTCTGATAATTTTTATAGTTCAGAACGTAATATATGTCTATATTGTTTACACGTAAGGTTTTCATTCTTTGGTAATCCTTGTCCTAAAGTATTTTATTATTACAAATATGTAACTGTTTTTAAGTATAATCTTGAGGCAGACTGGTCCATATACCATCAAAGATTAATCGGTTTATGCTTACCATCAGGCAAATGTCTGCCTCTGCAAGCTTGCCTCCGTCAAAAATCGCAATCACACCAGTTTATTCAAAAACTACGGTGAGACCGACAAACGGATCAAAATAAAACACCTCTTATAGCATCAGGGGTTAGGAACTATGAGAGTTAACTCACTCCACTCATTAGAATAGCTGAAAAATATCAACCACGGTTTAAAATCGCCGAGTAAGTAAAGAAAACGCAAAGAAATTTACATTATATTTTATTATCTTTGTCTTTAATAAAGTAATTACAGGTAGGCACTAAAAAAATAATCATGCATATTGAAGACCATAATACAATAACATATTTCTTAGATACAACAAACACCGCATCCTCTCTTGAGAAATAAACAGCCAGAGGCTTTAGTGCCGATGTTTCGACATTCGCTGACCAACTAGTAATGGCACGGGGCCGGGAACACATTGACTGAGTATCGTGTTCCTAGAGCGAATCGAGGGCAGTTAGTAACAATAATATATATCCCAATGAGATAGCGAACATCAAGCGTGCTTACAGACTAGTGGCGGACAGTGCGGGCACCCATCTCCAACAGTGAACACTGGTAGGCCGCGGCCCGCGACCAGCCCGAAACAATAACTTCAACATGACGCAAAAATAAACAATAAAAGCTTCAATAAAATGTACATGTCACGCCGTTTCCATAGAAGGCACGTATTCGTAAAAGAAAAAAGGATTCCCTTTTTAAAAAAGCTATCTCGTTACTTAGTAAAAACTACCAGCTAGTGTATTACAAAACAATTAGACGTACTTTAATTATGAAGCTATGATTTGTGTGCTATTAAACAGTGAACTTCAGTTTACCCGCCCAATTATTGCTCATTTTCATAGGAATTTTCGCCTAATACTATGGAAAAAATACATAAATCATAACGGTTTTAGTAACTTTTCATCATTTTATTTATTTTACTAAATAAATAGCATATAACATGAATTATCTACTAACGAAAAATATGGTTTACCCCTAAATAAAAAAGATAAATTCAGGTATAAATTACACAGGTATAGTGTGTCTAGCGCCAAAAGTAATAAACTCGGGTGCTTTCTATATAGAAGCATGGTTCCTTTACTAAATTGTGTTATATTGAATCGTCTCTTCACGTTACAATAATTATTATATATTTTTAACTTTATTCGTTCAGACACTAAATATCAATAATTACACAAAGCTATCTACATGAGCCACTCTTAACCGTTTTGTGTTAGTGTTGCCAGATTGAAATATATGTAAGGCCATAGACAATGTACGGCGTATTTCATGGATAAAAGATTTCATCTGGAGTGAGAGGCAGTATACTTCTGCACCGGCAACGTAGTTATTATGTTGGTAAACACCATTGTCTGGGAATGATTCGTAATGATTGCATTTATATCTTCAGCCGCATCTCTCTTTCCGGCTCCGACGACGTAAACTGGACATTCTAAAAAAAAAAGAAATAATATTAAACATTATTATTGCGCGGTGTGTATTTAAATTAAGGGAAAACCTATCTAGACCGGAGTGATATCTCGGCCTCACAGGAAACCGGTGTAAAACAATGCGTGTTTGAGTGAAGTTTATACACTTTGCACCAGAAGAGGCTCAATAGTTAAGACCAGCAACTCACTTGTAATAGTAGGTGTTTGTGTACATGGGCCACACTCATTGCTTATAATTGGATAATACATCTGCTGATATGCCTTAGCCCCCTTACGCACTAGCGGTTGACCGCCTAGGCGGTTCGTACAGACGGGGTTGCATATTACGGACGGACCCATAGCGGTTGCATATTAAATTGGAAAATCGGTCAACCGCAGGGAGCGGCTAGCCGCGTTGTTAAGTAGTGCCGAAGGAAACATAGCGATGCGTCGTTGTAACGTATTCTTGCCTCACCCTAAGTCTAGCAGTGAACGGTAATGGACTGGTGATGACAATGATAATATGTTTATATTATAACTTTCGTGAGACATGCTAAATTAATTATTATGTTTAGTAGCGCGATAGTCGCCGCGTCGCGGATCGCGGAATATTGCTCATGCTCATGAATATGAGCCTCTAGCATGGCTTGATACTAATCGAGTTTCTTGTCGAACAGTTAAGTGAGTAAGCCGAAAACATAATAATTAATTGACAAACATAACATAACATAACATCACGCCTTTTGATGGACGCCAGAGGTGCACATTACAGCACTTAAAGCCACTGTACAATGTAACACCCACTTTTCACTATTTATGTTATGAGTCCCATGTAATAGTTTTCTAAAAATCATTTGTTTTATTAGATACAGACGAACAGGAAATTGCACGAATCATAACTGGAATGAAAGATAATTGTGCAACTGGTTGTGATGGAATCAGCAATAGGATCTTGAAAACATATAGGCAAATTTTTGTCCCACCTCTGACTCATGTTTTTCGAGAGTGTCTCTCTAAAGGCATTTTTCCAAAATGTCTTAAAAGGGCAGTGGTTGTCCCTATATTCAAATCAGGTGACAAGAATCTAGTTAATAATTATAGGCCTATCTCACTACTGCCATCGATATCTAAAATTCTTGAGAAGATTATTAACATCAGATTGGTAAATTACCTAGAAATGAATAAATTCTTGTCACCACTGCAATTTGGTTTTAGAGCAAAGTTGTCAGCAGCTGATGCAGTACATACACTCACAGATTTCATATCAGAAGAACTCGGCAAAGGCAACCACGTTCTAGGAATTTTTATTGATCTTGCCAAAGCTTTTGATACTGTGTCTATTCCACTGCTTCTAAAGAAGATGGAATGTATGGGTATCAGAGGCACACAACTGAACCTCTTTGCTGATTATCTAGATGACCGTTACCAGTGTGTTAGAATAGATGACGTCACAAGCCCATTCCAGAAAAATACTGGTTTTGGAGTGCCTCAAGGGAGTATTCTTGGTCCTACCCTATTTTTGATCTATATCAACGATTTATGTAACATTGAGATGCATCATGGGAAACTAATATCATACGCTGACGACACGGCCCTAATTTTTTCATCCAATAACGACAATGAACTGTACTGTAATGCTCAATTGGCTTTTAATTCAGTTAATAGTTGGCTTTGCTCTAATATACTAACACTAAATGCGGAGAAGACAAAATTTATTCACTTTTCTATGCGCAAGAGTCCAATTACCTCTGTTACACCCCAATTATACGCACATAAATGTAGAATTAGTCCAGTGGACACATGCAACTGCCCTTGTATATTAAAAACTACTTCCATCAGATATCTAGGCATCACAATTGATGAAACTCTTTGTTTCAAACAACACATCAGCGCTTTGGTTGCACGTGTCAGGAAATTGATGCACATTTTTAAAAAAATTAGACAAATCGGAGATGTAAAAATATGTGAAAGTTATGCAATTGAGCACGGGTTAATTTATAACACTAAGAAAAGCGTGTATGTCGTTTTTAGGGCTGGTACTAGATGCCCTGATAGCGTACCCCCTATAAATTTGAATGGAGAAGAACTAACTAGAGTACCCTACTTCAAGTACCTAGGGCATGTAATCACCGAGGACCTTAGAGACGACATGGATATCGAGCGTGAACGTAGGGCGCTGTCCGTCAGAGCAAACATGATTGCTCGCAGGTTTGCGCGATGTACCAGGGATGTTAAAATCACACTATTTCGAGCCTATTGTACGTCTTTTTACACCTGCAGCCTATGGGCCGTCTATACTGCGGGGGCGTACAGTGCCCTACGGGTACAATATAATAATGCCCTTAGAGCGGTGTTGCGGCTGCCTCGCCACTGTAGTGCATCACGGATGTTTATGGAGACGCGCATCGATTGCTTCTACGCCACTATGCGTAAGCGTTGCGCGTCAATGCTAAGCAGAGTGCGTGGTAGTAGTAACACCGTTCTGAGGATGATAGCCAGTAGGCTAGACTGTCTGTACATGGGTCGATGTATCAGTACTCATATAGGTATTGATACCTCCAGTCATGGATCGGGCAGGGGTCGTATAGATTAAGTTATACTAACACTAGTCGTAAGTTTTGTAATACTAACCAATTGGATCATTGTTATCTGAATAAAAAGTTTTATTATTATTATTATTATTATTTACATATATTTATTTAAAATTCTCTATAAATTACATTTTTAAACACTACTTATAAAATAAAAATAATATTTAAAAATATAAAAAATAGGAGCCGACCAGTAGCGGGAGCATGGTCCAAGCTACCGGTGGTTAGGGCTCCAGAGACAGAAACCTCCTCACGATACGTGCCGTTTCTAGGAGAACTGCCTTCTGTATCAGGCCCTTGATCCATCCACCTAACGCCAGCCTCCTAAGATGGATGTCGAGGCTTTTAGGGATTAACCCATTGGCCGACTATTATTATTATTATTATTAATAGGAGGTGAGCCTATTGCCATATACCGCGCACATTACCAGACTCCGTGCTACTTCTAAGATTTTTAAAAACCCACTAATACTTTACCCGACGCGGGAATCGAACCCGAGACCCCTTGCCCGGCAGTCGCA